GTCTTCAAAAAAGCCTTAATTTTGATTTGACAAATCCTGCAGATAACCTATAATCAAACTGAGCAGTTGGTGCTGTGCGTCTATAGCCACCCAAGTAGAAAAGGCATATATTGTTATTTTTGTCATTATTCTTAAGAAAGTAGCTTTAGCTAAATAAATGTCAATTTTGAGCCATTTTCCTTCGATTTCCTCTTTGCAGCTATTTTGTATGGGCTTTATTCAATTTCTGCAACTTGCATCTAACGTAATTGCACCCACTCACCAAAAAGAGAGGCAAGCTCTACTAACAACAACGTTTTGCACTGCAGAGCCTCATTGTTTCAACCTACAAGAAGTTGTTTCTGCTTATAAAGCTGGGCAGGGAAAAAAACATAAAAATTGATGTTGCAGTTTAATGTCTCTATGTTTTTCAGTAGTGTGAACAATGGTACCACTCTGTGGTTAAAATTGGTATGGCATTAAATTGCAATGCATGTCATGCTGCAATTTTTACATCCACAGACAGGGACGTTCAGTCAGAGCAGAGATTTTTACCCACGCTGCTTTGTGCCCTCAGCTGGATTCATAAATGTACAGTATGAACATTTCCTTTTGGCACAGATGGCACAGGGATGCTTTTCTGCAGGGATAAAGGGGTCGACAGTACTGTAATTCTGTTTCTTCCACAGATTGTTTTGTGCTGTGATTAATTTTGCACTTTTTTTTTTGCACTTATTGGTTTTTAGAAAACATTGGATTCCATTGCACTGAAGGATTGTGGGCTTTCGGTGCGGCAACTGACTGACTGTTCAAGATGTCATAATGCTTTTCAGTTCTGCTTATTCAATTTAGTTCACTTGCAGGGAAAGATTCAGCACAAGTCTTCAAACGCCACCCAGAATGGGTCTTTGAGTCAAAGCGGGTCCCCGTACAGATCCTTCAGCATCACTCAGATGGTGGAAGAGGGGAGTGTGTGTGTGTGTGTGTTTAAACTGAGAATCTCAATAATTTGGGGATGATTGTCAGTGGTTTTGTTTTGGTCTGTAAGTTATGTGAGTCTTGGGGGTTTATTTTTGCTGTGGGATTGTATTTTTGTCAACAGATTGAGACCAGATTCAGTCCTCAGTCAAAACAAACAGAGATTGAGAGGCGATCTGGTCAGAGAAGCGAGCAGACGGTGGACAGCAGGGCCCTGCGGGTTTGTGGCTACAGATATGTTTGCTTTAACAGCATCACTCAACAAATCTAACAAAAGCTCTGGTTTTCTCATCAGGACTTCATGAGACTGGATAAAGACACCATGACTGGCAGATCTCCTTGTTTAACGTCTCCATCATTCCATCAGAAACGAACTGTCACAGTAACTGCTTTTTCCCCTCTCAGCCTTCCTCTTCTCTCCTCAGGGTCTGCCTCTTCGTTTGTCCTCACTCTTTCGGTGGATGTTTAATTCAGAAGACATGCTTCATTGCCAGACATCTAAGGGGCTTTCACACTCCCTCTGTCCTTTGGGAAATGCTTCTGAGTTCTCTTTAGTTTCTTCCTTTTCTCCCTTTATTGCACTGGCTTTCCAGATGTGAGAGCTCTACCCCCTGTGATATGTACAAAGGAAAAAGCCAGGAAAATGCATCTTTGTAATTTTAGAGAGAAGGTATTATTTTTTTCCCCTCTTATTTTAGGTAAAATGGTAGTGTAAAGTTTAACCACAGCATTGATGTTTGGTAGATCAGACCGAGAAAAGAGCTTATAAGTTCTATCAAAGGCCTGGCATTCTTGTTTCTGACTCATGTTTCTTATGTTAATGCTGTGCACATGAATGCAGATCACATGATGCTTAAGCCCTGTACGGCTGAGCTGCACTGTTACACTCTTCACCTTGTGCCATATTTCAATCCAGAAGCATTTGGAAAAAGTTACTGAAATGTAGGGTTGGGTATCATTTGAATTTTATCGATTCCGATTCTTATCG